GGACCTTGTGAAGTTTCAAAAGTATGTAATTGTGTTGCGAAAGGATGTCCCCTTTCAGCTGGGGCACATTGGCAACAGGATCAAACGCCCGTCTACCTGGATATGCCACTGGCATTAATGGTGCATCCCAAAGGCTCCAGGCAAGCTATTGTGCGATCGACTGGGAACGAAAAAAACGCGGGTGATTGTCATGTTGTCCTACACTGCAGACGGCCACAAGCTACCCCCCTACGTGGTGTTCAAACGAAAGACGCTGCCAAAGGGGGAGAAGTTCCCAAAAAATGTCGTCGTCCTCTGCCAAGACAAGGGGTGGATGGATGAATCACTAGTGCTTAACTCGATAAAGTCCTTGTGGTGATGACGGCCCGGAGCACTGCTGGCGCTCACTTTGATGCTTGTACTCGGCAGGTTTAGGAGTCACCTCACCGACTGTGTAAAGTGACTGCATCGCCACTTTTGCACTGAGCTCGTCGTCATCCCGGGAAGAATCACATTACAGCTGCAGCCGCTGGATGTATGCCTTAATATGCCATTTAAAAAGATGGTGACACCAAATTTGTGGAAAGTGTGTTCTTTGCTGTAAGCGTTTTCTTCAGCTCCAGAAAGCATGATACACACACCAAGATTCGCGTATTTTCGCTAAATAGTTTAATACTGCTCTACTTATGTGGACCATGTTTGGTTTCGGTTTCGCGGCGCTGAGTTGGGCAGTGACGTCGATGCATAGGTGGCTTGGCCCCGTGACCACATAACGCTGTGACGCACATCAAGCTGAGTTTCGTCTGCTCTCACCCGCACGTGCTACACAAGCGCCAGTAAAACAAACGCGCTGACAGTCGCCATGGCCAGCTGCAGTAGCATCCAGGCAGCGGCAAGGCAAAAGGCACCCAGAAGGAAACAAAGCGTTTATATTTACAACGTATGTACAGAATGTGGACAAGCAAGCCGTCAGATGCTAGATGCACCGTCCTTATATAGGCGCCAATACGCTGAAGGAGCACGGGGCAGCCCCGCTGTTGACAGACAAGGACGCGTCTCTGACAGACAAGGACGCGTCGAGAGTCTCTTCGAAAGCACCCAGTGTCCTTGACGCACGCACAGTTTCTCTGCAAGGGACGCCAACACACCCGTCACTACAAATCTGGTGTGACGTCACGAGAACTGCCGTTGATTCTCCTATTCTAAAACATCAGTGCTGCTGCGCAAGCAATGGGTCTTGATCGTAAGAGTAGGCATTCAGCTACACTTTTAAAAGTGAATTAAACTATATTCTATGCGTTTGTTTTGTCCGACCTTTCGTGTGGAGAGCCCTTGCATACACAGGAAACTCACAACAGACTTGGGATAGCCTCGAAACTTGGTGACACCACCCCTTTAAGGACCATGTCAAGCGCCTGTACGTGAAGCAGATGAGGTCTGGAGAACCAGAAGTGACCCCTGTCGGACGATTTAAACGGCCCTTGAGCAATGCTGTGCTTTTGGATAACCGAGGCTTGGGCCTGCATTTCTGAGGCGCTCGTTTGCCGCAAATTCGAAAAGTGCTCCATCTCAAACGCGCTTGATGGCATTGAGCATGACCCGCAGGTCGCGGGATCGAATCCTGGCTGCGGCGGCTACATTTCCGATGGAGGCGGAAATGTTGTAGGCTGGTGTGCTCAGATTTGGGTGCACGTTAAAGAACCTCAGGTGGTCGAAATTTCCGGAGCCCTCCACTACGACGTCTCTTATATACATATGGTGGTTTTGGGACGTTAAACCCCACAAATCAATCAATCAATCATTGAGCATGATGTTCTGTGAGAAAACATTTTCGACAAGGGAGCTTCAAAAGAGTGTGCCTGACAACGACGATGAATGAAGTGTGTCAGTAAATGCATTTTTCCGTTTTACTCTGGCTATATTCTGGTGAAAACTTTGTTTATCGCGTTTGCTATCCCCAAATTACACCCTGGACTAAATGCGGGGTCGAGGTTTATGCAGGCTTTTCCTAGATTTCGACCACTGGATGGTTTAGGGACCCTTTAAAGGTGATTCAGCAACGTATGTCAGGGAAGAATGCCTGCAGCAGTGCTTGAATCAAATGTTCATGGCATCAAATGTGAATGAAAGAGCAGTCAGAAATGCATTTCTGTCTGGTTGAAGCCCCACTAGGGAATCAGTGAACAGCCCAACTAGGCAGCAGTGTTGGTGATGAGTCATCTCTAATAACGGAGAACACTGTAACCGTAACAGGCTGGAGCCATATACCAATGTAAGCACAACTAGTGCAGCATACAGGAACCTGATCTATGACCACCGTGCTTCATGTATATAGCACAGTAAACTATGATAGACAGCACGGTTACTGTGCAGGTTGACAAAGGCTGATGGCGTATTCTTTTTTCAACACTAACTCTCTTACAGCTACCCAGTGCATACATATAATGACTGGAACCTAATTTTTGCTGACGTGCCTCATATTTCTGATGTTATTACACTATTGTTCTTTATCAAGACACCTTCACTCGGATAGCAAGTTGAGATTAGAAAAACATATTTCTGTGCCCCATAAAGGTGCACAGCATATCATTGAGGGGAGACAAAAAGGGAGTGAAAGACAGAACCTTCTCAAGATACGAGCACCCATACTACTTAGTGCCAATCAGTGCATCTTCCCCCGCAGTAAAACCAGTAGCTGATTAGCAGTCTCGGAAATCAAAGTTCGTACTTCCCACTTTGGATGTGGACACACCACCTCAGCATTAAAGGGAATTTTAATGCAGGAATTTATGCTTTCCTCTATGGTGTTGCCTCATGAAATTTTATTTTATCTTGACTTTTGTGACAACTGGACCTTAAAAAAAAAATTACTGCAAGAAAATGGCCACTTATCAGAGACTATATTACAGTCCCTAATTATGCCAGGAGAGACGCTGTATGTAAGTGATTCTTAAAAGGGAGAAAAGAAGATAAAAGTAAGCCCCATAACTGTCTGCATCATAGTGCGACACCTCAACAGTAGCTCATGAGGGATGGGGGTAAGGAGGGATTAAAAGAGATAGGGTGGAATAAAAGAGATAGGGATAGAGATAGGAGAAGGGACAGAGAGACCCACATACGAAAATAAGGAGAAGATAGGACAGATGGACACGGTCGCAAGAGTCCGAGGACGGGGCACCACTCAATGAGAGCTCTTGTCGGCGTCAGATGGCGTAGGGCGAGCCAGTCAGCCAGAGCTGCGCTTTCGTCGGAGATCGCGGGGGCACAAGTGGTCGGCACGAAATCCAGCGAGCAAGTCTCTGTGGCGAGACGTCCACTAGAGAGACGCTCTTTATTCAACTAATGAATATAGGGTGGCACAGTTTTTGGCACAAGACAGCTGCAACAGGAAGGAACACAATACAAGTATCGGTCTATAGGTCTTGAATACATATGTACTATCAGCGTCAAATGAAACCCGAACAGCGGCAAGCCTTTGCGTTAGTACAGTGCGTGCCGTCCAGTTATCACGATTGACAGGCGCGCACATCCTATTCGGCAGCTTTCCGCATATGTGTGTGCCTGTTCCTAGTGATAAGTGGATGGCGCACACTATACTATCGCGAAGGCTTGCCGCTGTTCGGGTTTAGTTTGACGCTGATAGTACACAAAGTTTTGTAAAAGATAGTTACCACTGAGTATCAAAATTATGCAACACCTATTTTTCTTAAGCTTAATTGACAAAAACACCTCCAGTATAAGAAATTAATTCGGGAGCACACCTGTACAAACTGTTATTGTGGCTTAAGTAGCTATATTGTAAAATTACAAGGAAAATGGACTACATTTGTACCTTCCATTTTTTTTTCTTTTGATATCAGAATGACATATTAAACATTTTTCACTAAAGCTAGCAAAACTTGCTGCCATCAAAAGATGAACTACATAGACATTAAAGAAAACAAATTCTGTGCTTGTTTTGAAATTAGACAACATTTTTGTGCCAGAGAGAACAGGGTAAGAGCATAGAAATCCCCAACAAATTTATTGTGTGATGCTTAACAGCAACAGTGCACCTTCTATGTGGCGAAAAATTGATAAGCTATGTAATAGTACCTGTGTACCAGTTACATCATTACTAGCTAATGTTGCCTACATTTGCATCTGCATGTTTTCTGCAATGCAAAGGGGTACGTATTAAAAAAGCTATCAAAACTCCTGTAAAGGGCATGTAAACAACCCCAAGGTTAAGAAATTGTTAATCAAGAGAAATATGCGAATATGTGCTATAGCAACGAAGTTACAGGGGCTAAAACATCCGTTTCAGCTTGTTTCGAATTTTCGCGCTGCTTCACAACCATTCTCCGCCATAGGGAGGACGAAAGTGTAGCCCGTCGTCATAACTCTGGCTACATCAGCAACAAGACACGACGTCAGCGATACATTATCAGCGCGTTGAAAACGACCAAGCAAGGCTTCCCCAACATGAGCACAGGTCATAGTGACATGGGGAAGTGCGGTTCAGGAGTACCTTTCCCTTGACGGAAAGTAGAAAGACACCTCTTCATCTCTGAGGCTTTAGTTTTTGTAATATCGCTTTTCCCGGTAGTCTCGGGCTCTAAAAAACAGTAGAGGGCAACACAAAAAAACAAAAATACGGACTGCGCGGCTGAAACTGTATCACTACAGGACCAAGGCACTGTTTCATAGGACAAATGACCAATCAGCGAGCTCAGTGGCACATCAAGTTGCCCATGGGCAAGCTTGCATCACAGCGCATACGAGGGGAATAGGTCAGAAGCAAACAGGCAGGGGAATCGTTTTTTGAAAGAGAGGGCCTGCGCAGCGCACAGTGCTGTAATATTAGAAAAATGTGATCGCCACAGTGTACTGTACAAATTGGCGAGCTTGTTTGGTGGGTGTAAAAAATAAGTCGGAGCCTGTTTACTGGTTCCTTAAGCATATTTTCACAATGCAAATCAAGTAAGCCATTGTTGTTTGAGAGGGAACAATATACTCAGAAATTAAGAGCCTCATCTCACCATTTGGGTATCCTGAGCCGTATTCCTCAGCCTTTACATTTATGCCTTCTGGGAACTCCCAAGACTGAATAGCATGATCCCGAGCCACCTGGAAAAAAATTGAAAATTATCGTCATTACTATCATGCAAACATTGGCATTGGGGCATGCCACGTTCACCTTCCTCATACCTAAAAAAAAAAAATTTAGTTAGCAATACTATCTGCTCCAGTCAGCTCACGTTACAAATCTAACACAAACACGAAAAAGGACTAGATTACATAAATGTCGTGGTTAAGCAAGTAAAGCTGTTTCCTCATCTTTGTAGACTGTGTGGAAAATAAATTAAATACTAATGGCATTTAACATGCCCCGACAGTACATGAGCTATGGAAGACATAGCAGCGGGGAGGGCTTAGGATTAACTTCAGCCGCCTGAAGTTCTATCATACACAACCAAAGTAACACAAGCATGCACGCACAAGAAAGAGTAACAGCCCCATGCATAGTGCTGCATTTGAAGAAGAAAAATTAAATTTTTATTGAAAGCACAAAATACCATAGATTTATACTGCCTAAACATTCCTCTATAAAGGGTAAACAATGTATAATTTCTAGCTATTTAAACATGTGCGACTATTAATCATCATAGTTGTAAAGTCACAGACGCTTCCTCAAAGGACGTGCAAGGACAGCAACCATGTGTTTGTAGTAGTCTCTTATGGCATGCCATTGCAAAAACATCTCTCCTTGTTTTGACAGACACATTGCACATCTATCGATGATGACTTTACTCGCAAACAGCATGGCAGCTATTGACACACAGAGGCAACAGTCCCCTTAATCTTACTATTATGAAGACTGACAGGCAAGCCCTTTTATAGTTTCGCTTCCAGCCAGTGAAGCACCAAAAGGTAAAGGTGCGCATCGAAAAAAAAGTTTTTCCGATGCCCACCTGTACCTTTTGGTGCTTGTGTGCATCGAAAAAAAGTTTTTTCGATGCACACAAGCAACACAGCTAATCTCGACATGGTAGAACTGTCAATACCAACAAATTCAAGCAGAGAAAGAGGTTTTCATTCGCTGAAGGGAAGTTACAAATATAAAAGTTCCGGCTTTCAGTTGATGTGACTTGTCCCTATATCGACAGAGCATTTCATGCCACAGTTCGTAATATTTTATGTGTTCGAGCGTCTGTAAAATGCAAACAATATAAAATTTATAGTGAAATGAACTCAAACTCCTTAAAAAGATACTGAACAAGAATTTGAAAAACTGACAAAACTTCGAAATTCGAGTTAGAAGATGCCAGTGTTCTGATGAACAGAGTTTATAAACAGAGGACAGATTAGACAGTGTGAATATATTGCTCCAAGCTGAACAAACTGGCCATCTACAGAGCAACCACCTAGGAGAAAAGGAGGTTAGATTAAAAAGCTATCTGTCCTTCAATATAATTCTGAACTCTAGTGTTGCCAATGTACTCTATTGATATCAAGTGCAACATAGAGACTGTACTATCGGCATCGAATGAAACGCGAACAGCGGAGCACGCGGGACAAGCCTTATCAATGGCATAGTACGCGCCGTCCACCAGTCATTGACACAGACAGGCCCGCACATCCCTTATAGTGCAATAGTTCCCTTTAGAGTGTTTAGAGTGCAATAGTTCTGCTGGTGTTCAGGTATAGTATTTGAAATGACCAAAATAAGAAAAATACAGAGGTTAAACTACTGCAGCCGAAGGCGAGTACTGTAGCACGGTTCGTCCTCACAGAGCCCATCATGACGGAATGCCTAGCAAATTTTATTTATAGTAGACAAAGGTCGGTTTGCGACCTTTGCGCTCTCTCTTTGCGCTCTCTCTCCGAAGAAACGCTCTCTCTTACAATTTGCGCTCTCTCTTCCGAAGAAACGCTCAACATTTCCAGTTAAAGCGAAGCCTTTTCGGGTCGGTCTCTGAAAGAAGGGTGCATGTGAAGCAGCACTGGCGAACGAGATACGACGATCATTTGGAAATCAACCGCAAACGAATTATATTTCTCTTTTTGTTTTATCGTGCCAAGGCACCGATTGCACTGCGGCACTGAAGTAAAAGCAAGGAATTGCGAGTGATACGATCAAAAGCGCTTGGCACGCCCACGATGGCCACCATTATCACTATACGAAAACTAGAACAGAAATGGAGATGACGCACTCTAGGGGGACCGCGCAGTGCGGCCAAACCGGATATGCTTGCCTGTCAATGGTGATAACTGGACGGCCAACACTGTATACTGTTTCAAATGCTTGAAACATGCGCTCTGCTGTTTAGGTTTCATTTGACGCTGATAGTACGGTACGGGAAGCAACAGAAGTCTACCGTATTTACTCGATTCTACCGCGCCCTTGATTTCAACGCGCACCCGATTTCCACGACGAAAAAAAAAAAAAAAAACGTAAGACATCGATTGCAACGCGCACCCATTTTTCTCGCTGGCCTGCACGATCACACCACTAGAAAAAACGACTCCTTTCGGGAGCGTCCTCCATTTAAATATGAGGTACGGGCGAAGCTTGTGCCCATCTGACGTGTAACAGAGCATTGCCGTCACTGCAGTTTTACCGTGGACCGATGTCAGCACGCGAACTTGCTTTGGCCCCTTCTTCTCGACGGTTGTGGTGCCAAGCATGTCGAAGTAAAGAGGCGTCTGATCGGCATTCCCGATTTGCCCAAGCAGGTAGCCGTTGTTGTGCCGCAAGTTTAGGACGAACCTCTGAAAACTGTGAAGCTTTTCATCGTACTGTTCCGCAAAAATTTTTGCATATGCCCGTTCCTCTTCAGAGGGAAAAGCCTTCTCCAAGTTAGTTAGCCAGCACCTGCTCGCTTTAAACTGGCTCCGCATTAGACCTTTTTCTAAGGCTAATTGCATAGCCCGCACTTGGAGCAGTTCTGTCGTCACGGGCCGCTGTGCCGCTCGCTGCTCAAGCACATACTCGCCGAGCAGCTCTTTAATTTGCGGAAACCAACCCAGCTGTGGTCCACTGAAGCCTTTGCGTGAAGCTTTGCTGTCGACAATCTTCTGCTTTTGTTTCCGCCAGTCCCGCACGCACGTTTCGGGAACTCTGAACGACCGCGATGCGGCCCGATTTCCGTACGTTTCTGCACACGCGATGACTTCCCTTTTAAAAGTTGCATCGTGGTGCACTCGAGTTTTTGGATTCGGCCCTTCCATGCCGTCGATGCTAATGCACTACAAGATGACGAACTCCTCAGCACACGTACGAAGTGCCGCACATGGGAAACACATAGGCAGAAATGGCCGACGCACATAGGGGGCGGCTACATTGGAAATGCCGATGGCAATAGAATGACCATATTAATTTTTTTTTTGTACTCGGTTCTAATGCGCATGCGATTTATGAACTCGCTTAACCGGAAAAAAGGTGCGCATTAGATTCGAGTAATTACGGTATCTAGTAGACAAATTTAGTGACAGGTGCTCATTGAAGAACATACTGTTCCTTTATTAAATTGAGCTTGCACATTTTAGAGCAGTGTTTGGTTTGATACATCCAACAAAAAATACTGAAATGATGCCTCTACACTTAACTAATGAACTACAGAACCCATTCACACCATCAGACCATAGCAGTTTCCCCACTGCAGCTTAAAAATAACTGCAATGACGAACGGCAAATTAATGCTAATTCAAGTGGCAGAGAATGGCAAATTTATTTTGAAGTTCTAGTAACGTACAGTTTAGAACAGGAAAAGTTTCATGCGGGACATTTTCTCATGCAGAGGATGTATAGAACTATACAGCAAACAGCTATGAGTAAGGCACACAGATTAAAAGGACACTAAAGTCAAATAACAATTTGCGTCAGAGTAAAAGCTCAATGCATGACGTCTAAAACGACAATATCATCAACAGCAGTGCCCCACTTAATGAGAAATTAAGGTTAATGCACAAGAGCACATGTGCTACGTGTAGGACATTCACAAAGTGATCCCAATGACATGAAAGGTACTGCCTACAATTAATCACTAGTAATCGAACTAGCTGCACTAAATAAAGAACCTTCCATGCAACAAAAGATGTAATAAAACTCTGCTTGTTTGTTTCTTTTTGATTCACTAAAAAAAAAACACGCCGGACAATTACTATGGAGGAAGGACGTGAGTAGTTCAAAAGTTCAATTTTCGCCTGGTTACACTGGACAGGTCGTGCCATCTAGCGGGGCCCAGTCGAACCAAGCACGTCTGCCATCTTGCAGGCCATGGCAGCAAATAGTTCAATAGACGCTGCTGCTGCTGTGGCTTCCACTACTTTTGTTCTACTGCTACTAGTGTCGGCGGCCGCGAAGTAAGGGCGGGCAACGTTGAGCACGGCAACAGTGGTGTGACCTGCTCAGCTTGAGGTGGGTAATTTCAAGAGCGCTAACCTGATGCAGACCATCAAAAAGTGATTTTATTTCAAAATAAGCACTTCCTTGGCACAAAAGTATGACTACGAGGTTTCTGGACCGCTATTTCAACAATCAATGTCAACTTAATAGTTGCCTTTAGTGTCCCTTTAACAGGAATTGCTGCTTTAAACAGACACACATGAAATGTTCCCTTTTGTATACTGATATAGAGTACATAAAAGAGTAAATACTGTAGATACTAGAAGAATAAAGGTGTAGATATGAGTATGTCACCTTGGCACAGATACTAGCTGCGCTAACGATGGGATATGTAGCATCTGCCTTTTTGGCCACCGTGACTTTTATATCCGGAAAAAGTGCTTGTAGCTTTTCTTGATACTTTTCGGGTGGGCCTACAGTGTCCACGTATACCTGGAAAATGAACAGCAACAGAAAATAAAATGCAAATGCAGCTATTCTGATGACATGGTCAAGAGTAACACCCTCTTTACAACATACAGAAATTATGTTTTTGATTATGCTATACTCAAGAGCACAAGCCCAACAAAGAATGGAAGGGTATAGACCAAGCTTAGCCTTTTAGAGAGGCACTTTAGCTCAGCTACTGTGAGATATGACTGCACCTTATGAACAGAATAATCCACAGGCTCACTACCAAAATACAGAAACTTCGATGCTCGGGTGCATGAAATTTACTACCGTTTTGTACTTCTCGGACTGTAATAATACCATACACTGGAAGTGCACAGAGTGCCACCATCCATACCCATACACTCAATACACATTCTGGCCTTGAGCCTATTTTAGTAGGGCTTTGAAGTAAGCAAGGGTGCTTAACTGAATCAGCAGCACCTCACAACATCCTCAGCATTATAACGCACTTAGTGGCTTCTCCGGCTTTCTATAATGTCTTTCATAATGAAGCTTCTCAAAGGCATTGTCTTCCTTTTTTTTCCCCTCCTTAAGGCGCATGGCCTTGCTGTTTTACTGGTGGCTGGGAAGTCAGGTATTCATGGGTATTTTTTTTGTGTGCTAGGTATCCCACAAAAATTTTAGCAGGGTATGTGCCCCAGCTGTGCAAACACCTTGTTATGCCCCTGGCTCATGCATAACCCTGTGACTGAATGCTTGCCTCTGAACGCACAAACATGAAAAGGTATTGGTGCACAATGCAACAGAGCCCACTGAAGCAAAAAGACAGCCTCACAGCAGCCATACTGTTTTACTGCTTCTCACACATGCAGCCCTCGCCCAACAAGCCTGAGAACACAGGTTCATATGAATGGTCAGTTGTAACTGCTGCAGTACAGGGCTAGCTTTCTTGTTTTAGGTGCGCATTTTGAAACTATGCCTAAACTGATCCTAAATAACAATACCAGCTTTAATTACACATCACATTAGAGCACTTAGTAATTACATAATTACTAGATGCAAGTCTACTTATTAATAAAAGGCCAGCTGCAATGAAATTTGGCACTCCGCAAAAAGTATATATAAAGATAGTCTAGCTAGAAGTAGTCCTGCTAAGTGTCACTTTCGAAATACAAGCGCTTACCTTAGAAAAAAGCTTGCAAATGACGGTGTTTTTGAGACGAAAACTAAAAAAAACAACGCCATTACAACTGAGCGGAAGAGACATGAACCACAGAAAAATCGTCTGTTCCGCGCTCCTCGAGCACGCACATCGCGGACGCACCCCTTAGTGTGCCTGTTTTTGTAACTTGAGAAAGCTGCATGAACATGCCTCTTATCGAACGCTGGTGTATGACCCCTGTATTCAGAAACGCTGCTTGACTTGAACTTGACTTGCCATCGACCTCAATGCAACATGAACGCGTTTCAAACGCGCTGTCTTTAGGCGGTGCCAAGGCAGCACAAATGCACAGACGCATTTCAAACATGTTGCATTGAAAGCACCTACAACGAAGGAAAGAGCGATTCAGCGGCAGGGAGGATCGCTCACAAGGAGTGATGCGGCAATGTTCTGTAGTAATCGTTATATCCGGTTCTGTCCAATTTGCCTGGCCACACCGCTAGAGCTTCGCGCCACCCGCTTGCTGGCAATTAGAGCACCAATTATAAGTTAAATACGCGACTACAAGATTTTTCACTGTTGTTATCGTAACTTACCGTATATATACTACGTATTTATGGCCGTTTCCGCCTAAGTAAAATTTCGTTGCAGTTGGCCTTCAAAGCATAGAAATCACAAACAATAATTTGGCTGTTATTCTACTGTTATTCTACTAGCACACACTATGTTCTATTGGAGCAGCACAATCAACTAGTATGAAGACTTCTTTACATACACAACCTAGGCAAGAACAAGTACTTACTTGCGCTACTTGCACACCATCCTCCAGAGCTTGGCGAATGAGACCAATGGCAGAGTCATGGCTGATTGCATTGAGACTGTACTTTGTCCTATCAGAGAAAATCATGACATTTCATTCATTTTTTGTACAAATAGTCATGCTGTTTCAACTATTGAGTGCATCAGAACAAGTCATCACAAGTTAAGCAGGCAATGAAGAGAAAAATTGTTTCTCTAATATTAGTAAATCACTCTTCTACAAAATCACAAAACTGCTTTTGACACAAAAATAGACTTGAAAAGCTAGAGAACAAGGAAGGAAAATACAGGTGGCAATGCTACCCTTCATGTTCTTGCAATAACTCGCTGTGACATGATAGCCATTGACAACGCCCACAAGGGACCATGCAACCTGTTATCAGTAAACATGGAGTACATTGTGTTCTCTCGAAACCAGAGACTTAACATGGCAAGTTAGGCAGGTGCGGAGATTTCAATGCAAAATTAAAATTTAATACACGGCTTTCATTTTTCCATTTAATAAAGTATAGCGCTCAAGCAGTGAAATCAGACATCAAAACATTTTATATGACTAGTATGTGCAATCACTTGAGAAAATTTCATAATTGTCGTACCGTGTTGCGATGAATCTGGCTGATAAAATAATGTAAGCTCTGATGTAAGTTTTCAAGTCAAAATTACAACAATATGAGATGAACTGAAGACGGAATGAAAATCAGTGCATTACTTAGCCCTAAACTTTTGCATTTGAATCCGTAAGCACCGTACCTATGACCATGAATACCAACAACAACATTCTGAAAATAGTTAACCCATCTAAACTGATTCAGAGACTCTTTTCTCAAGCAAAATCCATGCACTACACTTTAAAAAGTTTGCCCCTTTTGAGACCTACTAAACAAAAATTTTATCTGTGTTGTCTACCCTTTCTTTTATTTAACACTGCACATTGAAATCAAACTGAAAGAGGCAGCAAAGATACTATTTTTTGCATAACTAAATACTAATTCTAGCCATCAAATGTTCTATGCTACATTATTTGGTTGATTCCACCACGGGTCGCCATGATATACATTTACCAATCGCTGAAATCTCAAACCGTTTTAAGGCAAATTGGCAATAACCATTAAGTTTTATTTCATTATCTACTACACTGATAGAACATGGTACTAACATAGCTACCAAATCCAAGGGCGAAATCAGTTATACTAATGTAACAAGATGAAACAGGCTAGAGTTATTCTGGCTTAGTACAGCTTGAGTACATGGGCACAGATGTTTCACTAGTGGACCATAATTTGCCAAATGTGCACTCACACATCAAGCATGTGACCACTGATGACAGAGGGCGGTATGACTTCTACCATATAGCCAAGGAATGAAGTTTTCTCCACAGCCTTGAGAAGCTCTTCCCTCTTCTCCTCAGTAAGAGTTTTTGAATCTGGTGAGGCAATAACAAGAGGAAATACTGTAAGTATGCAAGAATCTTAAACTACTTGTTTGTGGGTACTTTACCTGCAAATCCAAGTTCTTTCAGTTGACTTTCTGCTGATAATGGACAGTAAGCAATGCCATAGACCATGGGGCCTGCAAAAAACATATGTAAAAGGAGCAGTTATTCTACCTTTGCTTCTTTCATTCAAAGCCAAACTTATTCTGAGCCTTAATGAAAACTATTCGTGATCACAGCTGTGCTTTTCTTAACAATACACTTAATAACAACACTTAACATAACAACACTTAATAACAATACAACACATTTCATGTGCCCCGCCGCGGTGGTCTAGTGGCTAAGGTACTCGGCTGCTGACCCGCAGGGCGCGGGTTCGAATCCCGGCTGCGGCGGCTGCATTTCCGATGGAGGCGGAAATGTTGTAGGCCCGTGTGCTCAGATTTGGGTGCACGTTAAAGAACCCCAGGTGGTCTAAATTTCCGGAGCCCTCCACTACGGCGTCTCTCATAATCATATAGTGGTTTTGGGACGTTAAACCCCACATATCAATCAATCAACACATTTCATGTAAAGGCATGAGCAAAAGTATACAGACCATGGGATCGTGTGGCAAAATGGATTAATGCATCGACAAATGCGGCGCCTGCTGCAGTGCGCATGCACGTTCCATCCTACCAGGTGGCCTCTCATATCGCTTTGTCTTGTAGAAATACGGCGCTCGTAGCCGAAACGACAACCGAGTCGCTTCCTACAGTCTATCGAATCTGCACCGTTCTCTTACCTAGCAGTTGCGGCAGAGCCGGTCCAAGCGCCGGGCTCGCAATGTTTCTTTACACCGGTTAATTAGTCTAAGCATAGCTTGCATCATGCAGCCTAATGAGCCCAAGCATAAAAATTACGTTTTTTAAGCCCAGCTTGCCTTTGTCGTGTTAAGCCAAGTTAAGCCGAAGTAAGTGTAGTTGAAACTAATCATACGTAGTTGAGCATGGTAGCGCCTAATAAAGCCAGGCATAGGTAGGTTTAATTAAGCTGATTCCAATTCAGTCTAGTCTAGTTTGCTGCTTTCACATTAAGACAAGTTAAGCTTAGTTGAGCCCAGATGAGTAGGTATAAATAGCCCAACCTATTAAGGTATAGACGGTTTCGCCAGAGCCTGCCGGTCTCTAGCAACATTGTGCGTTCACTGGAAAATCACCCCTAAAAACTTCCGGTTTAGCTTGTTCTTGAGTGGGTTTAGCGTTGGTTGTTGGCTGTGGCTGCTTGTGTTCAGATGTTTTATGCAGATAAAATTATTCCGGTGAAGCAATAGCCACTCGAGCACAGCTGTGTCAAGTCAGGATGCTGTCTACATGCCTGAATTATTTAATATGCTAGTGAAAACGTTGTTTTTTGACTGATGACGATGGAAAGAGCGCCTTTATTGTAGCGATCACGCGAAAAAACTGGATTTCTGCTTAAAGCACGTAGGTTTGTTCTGCCCACTTCATCAAAGTCAATGTAAAGCTCAGCGCAGACTAAGGAAACAAAGGCGATACTCAGATGTTCGACTAGTCGAAGGCCCTCGGTTACCGGGAACACACCGGTCGCTGTCCTCTTCGAGCCGTGGCAAACAAGTGTACTTACACATGAAATGGTTAGCAAAATGTGAAAGCTAACACTGAAAAGTCATCGCAAAGCTGTTAATTTTATAGTTTGAGCAATCATCAATGATGTTCGACACAACACGGCACACAATGTAGCTGCGCTTAACATGAATCGCCGCACATGTACGTCTAGGCGTCCACGTTTCGTTGTCATTGCATTGGTTTTTTTTCTTGTAAGTGATGCTGTTGAGTGGGCTCTTATCTGTGCGGGCAAATATGACTCATCGCCTTTTTTTCTGCCGCTAATGAACATCGCCGCATTCAAGCTAATTTATATTTTGGGTATGAACAGTTGATTTATGTAGGCTCGACTTGAAAGTTTGATTCACGAATATCTTACTCGCGAGTAAACCATAATAGTTCGTTTGATCCTGCAGCCGCAGTTGACTTATCACATCAGTACATTTTAAAATTTCTCAGTCACACGAACACGTCAGATTGCGGGCGATTCTGATCGCCGCTGACCTCTTTAAGAAGTGCGGTGTGACACAGACGCAGAAATAAGCGTTTTATCCTGAGGTTGCGTGCTCAGACGAAAACAGAATTATGTTCGGGGTTCAACAGGAGGAAGGTTTAAAGTTTTAGTCGAAAAGTTGAATTGAACAAACTCACTATGAATCGAGCAAGTCTTCTCCAGCATGTGGACGGTGTGGGTGCCCTTTGAAGACGCATACAGGGAAAGGGCAGGTGTGCGCTGTCAATTCCCGGTCTGCGACTTCAAAGTGCATCCACATCCTCGGCATGCATGCAGAACCAACTGGCTCAATTAAGTTCGCTGACAAATGTCTCCTACAATTTATGCATTTTCTGTTTGTATAGGCGCGACCACACTCAGACCAGGCCACACGGAGTAGGGGGCCGCGCTCATCGGAATGCCACGGCGTGTTTTTGCAAAGCGCCCGTCGTCCACGCGAGCCGTGCGCTACGTTGAGCCCCTTCATGAAGCCTCTAGACGTTGCCCCAAACACATCCTAAGAAATTCGCAAGAAATAATAGAGCATCAAACTGAAACACACCACGAAAACCACCGGGGCCTTGAAAAAGCATTGTCAGAAGCGCCGCACTAGAAGTCTGCTGGGGTAGGCCGTTCGGTGAGAGCCAGTTTGTTTACAAACACCGAAACTGTCTATAGTTGATCGTGATATTCCTTAATTTATTTAAGCATAATTAACCTAAACAAGACAAACCTAATCATGACCAATTAATGCAAGTTGAATTCCCATAAGCCCAGAGAAGCCAAGCCCAAGAAAATACTAATTACACCTTACTGATACCATGCTAACTGAGCTCATAAGGTGTATTGGTGTTCATTCAGACAAACAGTAATTACACATAATTCATTAGCCTGATATCCACCCGAACACACCCCAGACACTGAAGTTTCATGTGCCCTAATTACACCAATTATCCGTAAGTAAGCTAATTAGACAGCAAAAAGTTTCTCATAAATAAATTTGATCAAGCACAGCTGATCACACCATTGCCTTAATAATTGGAGCACGATAAGGTCTAATTAAGCCATGTCAATTTAAACATAATTACTTAAAATAAAGAACGTTGAATTCCCTATAAGCACAGAAAATCAAGGGCTCGGAAAGTTGCCAATTACTTAGAAGTGTGGCAGCTTGAGCTAGTTGGTATGACATGAGGATATTTATAGAGAGAGAACAGAACGACACGGAGACAAGAAGGGCACTCTCGCACTCGTGTCGTCGTCGTTCTGTTCTCATGCTATAACTATCGTCTTCCCAATTACTCCTGATTGAGTAGAGATTTATTAGGCTACAGAAATCTAATTAAAATCAAAACTAATTATATTTATTTATACTTATGACTGATTAATGTTTGTGCAATTGAACTAAGCATACTCGACGTACTTAAGCATGATGTTGCAGAATTAAGCAAATTATGCAAAGTTAAGCCTAATTAAGACATCTGTTGCAGCATAGGATGCTCTGGGCAGTCAAGATGTTTGATAGTAATTCCTGTAAATTTACACAGTGGAAGCAGGCTGTGAAACTTTACATATATATCCATCAATGCAGCACCTAAATATATAAATATTCTTTTTTTCAAAATGTGCAGCAAGACACACTATGAAAATAAAAAACGTGGCAAAGAATGTGCCATCATCCATGTCTTTTCACGCTGTTTTTAACTATGAATATGTAACAACTGGCCCGCATTCACTTTTTCTTAAGGCAATTAAGGCTCGAGGTCATGCTTTCCCTATTGCACCAGCTTGTATCACAAAAAAAGCTAAAGTGAATAGCACTTTATAACTGAGATGATTTCGCTTGATAATTCAACCCTTGAACAACGACATTGTTGAGCCACAGAAAGGGGTACCGGCCACATCATCATCAGCAGCAGCCTGTCTATGCCCACTGCAAGGCAAAGGCCCCTCCCATGATCCACCAATCAACCTGGTCTTGTGCTTTTAAAAATGCTGCCATGTTATACCTGCGAACTTGTTAATCTCATCAGCCCACCCAACTTTCTCCCCCTCATGCATTTACCTTCTCTAACAATCCAGTCAGTTACTCTTAATGACCAGCGGTTATCCTGTCTACGGCTACGAGCTCAGCCCATGTCCATTTCTTCATCTTTATTTTAACTATGATGTCCTTAACCTCAGTTTGTTTTCTGACCCACTCTGCTCTCTTCTTGTCTCTTAAGGTTACACCTATCATTTTCCTTTCAATTGCTCGCTGCTTCGTCCTCAATTTAGGCTGAAGCAAGCTCCAGGTTACTGCTCCACAGGTAAGTATCGGCAAGATTCAAATGTTACATACCTCCTTCTTGAGGGTTGATAGTAGATTACCATTCATAGCAACTGTGTGTGGCCATCCTTCATATGCTTAACCTAATGCCCTACCTCTGTTATCACTGTAAACAATGAGAGCAGGCGATCACATTGAAATAACAACCAGTTGCCACTTTTCCTACTAGCACCGTAACCCCACCAAACCGAGTGACAAGAGATGCCGTCTGATACGGTGGGACGTGCATGTGCACCGCTACAGGCGCTGCATTGCTAGATGGCATGTGAATGCATTCTGCCAAGCGATCCTGTGGTCTTTACACTTTTGCTCATGACTGCACATGCTCACTGACCCTGCTTTGGCACTTCAATATTGGCTTTAGTATTATAGTTCAGAAAGAATAAGCATAGACAAATACATGTTAGGTCAACATAGCACAATCGTTAGGGAAAACATTCTGTATACCTTTTTTAGATAATGACACTAGTTGAAGGTCAAAAGAACTATTTACATATACCTAACACCCCCAACTTACCAACAATGCAATTACAATGTTCTACTAACAACTGATACTAGCATTTACAAAACATCGGTAATGTCATTGCGAATCTGTCAGCAGGTCCTACAGTGTTGGCACACATATGTGTGTGAAGATGCAACTGTAGATGGCCATTTTTATTTAACATCTCATCGTCTCAGTCATTCCTCCAACACTGCTTTACTTTTACTTCGGGAAAACTTTACTAAAGTAGCAAATTATTCCTCTCCCTTTGACTGATGTCCCTCAACATTCTCAACTGCAAATGCATGTGGGTTAATTCTCAAGTGTTACATCATTAACCACCAGTCCTCCAACAGTAGAGTGAGACTGAGAGAGAGTTTCAAATATGACTGCACGAAAGTGTTACAAAAAACACTAAAGAGAAACAATGACTTGGTTTAGATTGACAAACTGCACACAGAGAACTTTAATGCCACATGTTTCACTATCGTAAGTTCATTATTTGCGCAGAAAATCAAGGACGAAGTTTCATTTTTAAATTGCGTGCCAAAATCTTCGGAATTGATGCTGAAAATTTCAAAATACTATATTTTTCGTATTTTCGCCACATTGACTCGATGAAATTTTCTGAAACGTCGCGATGCTAGGTTTATGGCACCCGCAGATGACAATGTACTTCATGCTCGTCAATTTGAAGCTATGTAGGACCCAGTAGACCCCTTCAAAATTTATGAAGTCACAGTGTTCGGCTTTGGAATCTCAAGGTGGCATCTCCACTCCTATTTTCTTTTCGCGCTTTTTCTCACTTACTAAGCCCCGTGTCGTGGTAAGAATGGTGTTTTCAGGATTCTGAAATTGTACTTTACTAATACACGAAAAATCATTTTGCTCTGTAGTGTTGTTCCTTTAATAAAAAATATAGCTATATATATATTTTTTGCAAGGTGTTTTAACGGCACAGGCAGGTTGCACTGGAGCTCCAAATTAGTTTGAAATTGAGTTTGGATGTTTTCCGTTTTTTACATATGTACTTCTTTTGTTAAGATCTGTTACCTGCAAAGCCTTGTAATATTGTGCGTAGTGGCAGTTAACATTTTATGAATGTGTTAAAATTTCAAACCTAGAAAAAAAAATTGGAATCATTTTTTTACACCCAATTTATGAAAATTTCCATTTATGATGGCTTGTTTTATACAAAAAATACAAAGGCACTCAGGCTACTGATTACAGCACCAGTTATGTAGGTGTCACTAATTAACCCATGTGAAAAGTTTTCTTGGCTAATGCTCAATATCTGCCAATAAAAAGTATGCAAGCTTAGAAAATATACAGAAATCGCATAGCGAACATTTCCAGTCAACATGTCAAGAAAACGAACCAAAAACTATTTTTGAAACCACGAGTGTCAAGTGAGATATATTTTCTGAAATACAAAGAAATTCAATAACAGGTGATTGCCAAATCTCGAATTCTATGACCAAAAAAAATCTAACCCCACCTTAAAGGGCCAGTAAACAATCCCACAGCCTAAAATGTGTCATGAAGTTATGACTGTGCCCTTGTGCAATGTGAGCCTGCTGCTGCAAGACTTTTGCAAATAGGTGCAGTAGTAAGAAAGTAACAGGGGATAGAACAACTCGCATGTACTAGTTTGAATTTGCTAGCTCTGCCTGCCCACCCTCGTCGGCAGCCAAGAGGGGTAGGTGTAGCCCGCTCTCATGACTACACCCGATTCAGCAACGTAACACTACATCAGCGATTACTTCATCGACATGCAGCCAATGAGCCAGCAAGGCTTCGTTTATGTGTCACTTGTGTAAGAGCAACTCTAGGGTCTCCCTTAGGGGCATTGTGAAGAAGCGCAGTAACTGTGCAGCCACAACCGCATCAACACAGGGCAAAAGTGCAGTTTCATGGCACAGATGACCAATCTATGAAGTTGGGGCAATGTCAAGTAGCCCATTGGCAAGTATACGTCACTTTGCGTACATTAAAGATTTGACAGCCACTACAGAGGGGCGCATGAATTGTTTTACGAAATGAGCATCTGCGCGGCGAGCAGCGCTGCAATGTTCATCAAATGTGATCACCGCGAATGTCTGCATGAATTTGCGAGCTTGTTTGGAAGATGTACAAAAAAGTCCAAGTATGTTTACTAGCCCTTAATTTTACAGCTCACAATAAAATGGACTCCCACAGATACCTCATCATTACAATCTCTAATCAACTTACATGGTCTGCACGCATAGCGAATCTTACAAACAACTGCTCTAAATCACTTGGCTATCTCAAAGATAATTTTTTTTTTGTCTCCTGCTCCCATAAACAAGCTTATTTGGGAAATGTTCATTTGGACAATACTTGAGTGTGCCTCAGAAATTCAGAATGCCTACCATATTAGCTAACTTGAAGCAGTCAAAGATAATGCAGCCCATTTCACCCTTTTCTTCATCTATGAGTGACATAGAAATATAGGTTGCATTAAATCATCTCTCATCATTCCTAGTCCACACTGTGCTGGAAGACTTCTCAACTTCCCCTTTTCCACAATATAACTTACCCCACCTCAAGAAGACACTTTTACTTACACCCAACTACACTTCACATTATCTGTTTAACAACTTGGGTCTACAATGCTTGCACAGTACCTCTAATGGCTTTAACAAATTGTTCCTACCTGTTATTGTTCCTGTTATTGAACTATCGAACATGCTAATCGAGGATATAGCGAAATGGTTCAAATAACTTTGAGCAGCTATTTTCACATTTTCTAACCCCTTAATTTTTCTCCCCCCCCCTTTGTTACTTTAAGGCAGATCAGCAACACTCGCCAGCTGTATTCATCTTTTACTATCAACAGTACTGCTGATTGTTCTACCAATTGTTCCATAAGATATACTACTTTTTTGCTACACCCATCAACTTCAAGGTGATGGGTGTAGCAAAGATATACTACTTTTTTGCTACACCCATCAACTTCAAGTTTCGTTTACCATGGTATAAAAATGATCATGACCTAGCTGATGTCATTTAGATGTCTGTCACAATTATGAAACTACAGCGATTTTTCTAATGTGTGCTTTACGATTTCCTTGGCTTAACTGCCTGTTGCATTTATTAGGTGCTGCCTAACAAGCAAACGAGCACCTCGATCCCATCTTGCGTTTCTCACGATCGTATACGAGATGCCAAGAGCATGAGGCAACCAGTCCCGCCGCGGGAGACTCGAATCCGGGTTGTCAAACTGCAGGACCGAAAGTTAATACCAGCCAAAAATATGCTAGATTCAAAAGGAATATTCTGGACAAGCACTTAGTATTTAGTTGCGCGGGGTGTGATCGGCTACGGTCCCAAATTCTGTGTCACTTCTGTCGCGTATTGAACAGCTTCACCAGTTATCCAGCATGACAGAGTGAAATGGCTCCTCATTTTTTTTTTTGTGTTTCCTGCCGTTTATTTTAAGCCCAAAAGCGCACAGTAGTCTGGAATCTTACTTTTAGCTGCTGCTACTACTACTACTACACGTACTAGACAGTGCAATATTGAGAGCGCTTGCCATGACTGAAGGCAGCCAATCAAATCGACTCCTGCACATTTCCAAGTATATTATTCTAAAGAAGCATTCAAGGCAGTCACTGTCCCGAGACCACGCGAAGGAGCTACAGGAGCACCAGAAGCAAACATCCACGCACACTACCTAAAACAGGTCCTCTTCCAGCCTCGTCCACGCCGAGGATGCAAGGCTCCGACTTTGCCACATCCGGTACAACTGACTTAATTATAGCATTTCTGCTATTGTTTTTATTAAACGCATCTAAATTCATGCTTGCACTAACACCCCAGCGACACAAACGACTGAACCAACTAAACCCTGCTTTTCCCGCTTTTCCGGCAAATGTTTTGCAGATTGGATTGGATTGGATGAGTTTTGCCGCTTCTTTCAGTAAGTCACATAGTGACATTTCTTAGTTAATTTTAGGATTTTAGGAAACTTTATGGCTGAATATATTTGTTCCCTCAAGGATGAATCACCAAAATCGCACCATGACACGAGTTAAATTGGAAGTTAGTATACACAGAGATTTAGTGACACGTTTTTATTGTCTCACTAAATTTTCAAATTCATGCCCTAAAGACGGTCGTTTGTTTGTAGTCAGATCTCAAAGGCTATACACCGAAATGGATTAGCGAGTCATAACATGTCCTAAGCGCCACACTTCAAAATTGAAGAAAATAAATCAATGTACAAACAAGTCAAAGATAATGTTTCGGCTTAACTACAAAAAAGTAATAAATGAACAAGTAATATGTAGTTGATATATTTTGTGTTGTGCGATGTTAAACTTCAAAACACAGTGCAACAAATAGCCTCTGAGATTATATCGTTTTGAAGAGGAGCAGTGCGGCCAGCGTTAAAGTTCATTTCAATCATACATAATTATGCGAACATCAAACTTTGTTTCTAGTAGAATGTGAGGTGGGGAGGCTGATATAAGTAGTACCTATGGCTTTTCTTCCTATTTAGACGCAAGCAGTCAACACATGAAGTTTCATAACCACATAACCATCAATAACCATACTTGGACATTTGCTAAGACAAAATCTTGCTCTAATAAAATTGTTTTACTTTAATTATTGATGAATTCGCTTGTAATCATAGAGTTTTTCATAAAATTGAGCAACTTTATGCGCGTAATCTTTCAATCTTGCTTTGCGTCATAAACCGCGTCATGATTGCGCGCGTCTGTTTAAAAAAAAAGACGAAGCCGGAAGTTAAAGGGCAAGCACGTTGCGCATGCGTCGTGCTCGGCCTCGCGCGTCCCGTTCTGCACGTCCCGTTCCGCGAGCGAGTCAGCGGCGAGCTTGGGCGAACGTAGATGTGCTCGGGCCGTGCTGCGTGAGCCGTCGGACCGTCGGTCGAGTGCGGGCGTGACTGGGAGTAGCGACGGTTTCGAGCAAGCCGGTTCCTGTTGGCTGGTCTATTATGATTTGCGGAACGCTGGCGGGTTGAGCGAAGGCAGATCAGCAACATTCGCCGAGCCGCACGATGATGAACTCCCTGCGAAGATGGTTCTACAGACCGAAGGTGAGCTGTTTAGGCTTAATGTTTGATGGGCTTTATCGTCTGCAGCGGTTGCGTTTTTCATTCGCACCTGTCTCTCTGGTGATATTTCAAATACCTCGTGCGCTGCCGTTCTTCGAGATTAACGTTATATTCTCGAACTTTATTCCAAAGTACACCGCACCGCAAGTGTAATTAATTTTGCGTGCTGTTCAGTTCAGCGACTTTCAGTTGAGTCCTAAACTGCTGTCAGGCGCTGGTACCGAAGCGCGCGGTTTCAGGCCCTGGACTGGTGTTCCCTGATCGTGAGCATGCTGCGTGCGAATAATTTCTCGGTCCATAAGCGCACTACACGTTCGGGGCAATTAGAGCGAGTATTGTCTTTGGCTAGGCCGAATGCGTCATCGGTTGGAGACTCACTTTCGCAATCTCTTTAGCGGGGACATATTCAAATTGCCGAGCCGCGATATCCGGAAAATGAGCCACTTCGCGTCGGCCCATAGGATGTGCTAATGCAATAGGCGTTGTGCCCTTATTTTCGTACCACTCGTGGTTATTCCCATGAGCTGTATCGTAGCTGATGCAGCTAATGTTTTGTGCGGGAATTTAGCACGGAGTGTTAAGTCGCTTTTGCCATCAGCTGACAGCAGAAATTTGACGCTTAGTTCGTAGCGTTTAGCATAGATGTTCTCTGCTCTAGCTACTTTGTCATCGTTTCTGCGTCGTACCTCAAAATTCTCTTTTCATTCGCTCGGCTATGCATATTTTAGTTCTTTGAAGTTGCCCCTGTTATATGAATTGTTTATTGGTTCCTCACAATGCCTTTTTTTTCATTTCCAATAATTTTCTTGTTTGGCAAGTTATTAATGAAGTTAATTGTAGAGGAGTCTCTCGTAGCTTTAGTGTTACCTTGTAGTGTTTTTTTTTAACTGTTCATTGATTTGCGAACTTTTTCTTTCTTGAATATTGTATATTTAGGAACTGTGTTGTAGATTACTTGAAAATTGAAATATTGTGAACACCGGTGTGCATATAAAGCATTCGTGTCGTCACACGGACGTGCGGTTAAGGGGCAACGAAGCTAACCGAGCCGTCGTTCATTGCCTTCGCTGTTTTCGAGGAAGTGGTCGCGGGGAAACTTTGGGGGTCGATGATAGCGCCCTGTCCCCTTTCTCAGAAAGACGCAAGCGTGTCGCCAACTGAAGCTCATAGTTTTTATTTCGCGGTCGATTGTAATACAAGCGTATTTCACCGGTCGCCATTTTGGTGGGTAATGCATTTCACTGTACTACTGGTCCGACCTCGCAGTTCGTTCCGAGTGGACGCGCCTCGCAAACTGACCGGCTATAATTTGCAAATGAATTGAAAACCTTAATTGGGGTGGTGATGCGTTCATAAGATATTTATTCGTTTTGATTTGTACCACGCAGTAGAGAGCATGACAGTGCTTGTTTGTGTACCCTGTGCGCTTGAATGGAATGGCAGGTGTGTGTGTGTGTGTGTGTGTGTGTGTGTGTGTGTGTGTGGGGGGGGGGGGGGGGGGGGGGGTTCCGTTTTACACGGGTAGTGCCGCCGGGAAGACCTGTTAGAACCATACCATAGCCTCAGACGATATGTCGTCCTTTTAACTGGGCGTTAACTATTCAGAATACCACACACACATACACGCAAGCTTGATGTTGTGTGTCCGCGCCGTTGTTGTTGTAGTAAACCGCGCCTGAACTTTACCAGCCACAAGGCTTTTCGTTAGAAACGTGGATTGCGGCTTATAGAAGCCGCGATGGCAGGACTACTAGCAGAGGTGTGTGCCTCAATTATTGCGTCCTGTTAGCTGACGGCCATGGAGCGCGTGGGGCCTCACACGCAACCTCGGTGGGCGGAAGCATTTCCAAGACGCGCCAAGCCATGTGGCGCAGGGCAGCCAGACATTTGTACAAATATCGCGAAGCGCCATGTTTGGACAAATGTCTGGCTGTGCTGTGGTGTGAGCTATACCGTTCCCTCGATAGATAATGAGATTATTTTTGTTACACGTATACCCAGGCTATTGTTAAGCCAGTGCGAGGGCGTTAGCTGCCTGACGCTGGTCACGTTGTTTCTTTTCTCGTCTCTTGGTCATCGGGATGCAAGGAGGTGACCTGCGCGGGTGCTTCGAGATCCCGATTACGCTCGCAGATAGTTCCGGCCAAACTGGAGAGCAGTCCGACTTTCTTATCAGCGCCGGCGAAAACGATGTCTCGTGCATAGGAAGATAAGCGGACTGTGCTGCGAGCCTCTGTCCGCGCCTCTTTTTTTTTTTTTTTTTCGTTTGAGGGATGCACGAGCTTTCCACAACGATGGCCGAGTGAAGTGTAGGAACTGTATCTTGCAGGAAATATTGCTCATTCACGATGCTCTCCCACTAGCAAACGTTGATATTAAGAAATCGTTTTCACGCCCTGCATATTACATGCATGGTTATATTGACGTCTGTATAATATACGGAATGTTCAGCATAGTGGCCTCGCCGCGGTGGTCTAGTGGCTAAGGTACTCGGCTGCTGCCCCGCAGGTCGCGGGATCGAATCCCGGCTGCATTTCCGATGCAGGCGGAAATGTTGTAGGCCCGTGCGCTCAGATTTGGGTGCACGTTAAAGAACCCCAGGTGGTCGAAATTTCCGGAGCCCTCCACTACGGCGTCTCTCATAATCATATGCTGGTTTTGGAAAGTTAAACCTCACATATCAATCAATCAGTTGTTTAGTATAGTGTTTTTTTGTGCCTGTGGTGGTAGCCGTAGAGCTAGTAGATCATTCCGAGGGATATACATTATCTTGTTGCAAAAAAAAAAAAACGAGTTTACGAATAGTAGTTCTTGTGGTCGTAAAGCGTGTCCACTTGGTACGTATTGCATGGACGTTTAAGTTACTGATTCCGTCCACAGAGCTTCTTAAAAAAAAAAAAAAACGTAAATGAAACGGGTCTTTTTGCCGCAAGGTTGAGGACGTATATCTAGTACAAGCAGCGCCTCGTTAACATTTGCAAAAAATGGACAGCATTCGTGCCGGCTGCAGCTAATAAATACATTGCCGTATGTGCGCTGTGAGGTGATGCATAAAAATACTGATTAATTTGCCAAACGTCTCAATTTCTCTTGTATGTCCCCCGCTTCGAGTAATCGAGCTCGACGAGCGTTATACAATAACCCTGTAACAGGTGTTTTAGCAAAAAAAAAAAAAAACTTGCGTGTAAAGTTTACATGCGGCATCGTTGTCTTGATAAGCAATCTCGTTTATCAGCTTCTTTATTGCACTTAAGCGGGCCGCGTCTGTTGCGTTGGAAAGCGCCTCGCCGACTGGTGGATGCCGACAGAGTCACTCTGACGTTCTGCCGACTAAATGCGAGCGCGCGGGGAATTCGTTGCAGGCGGCGGCTGCTGCATTTGTGTGGGTGGAATCACGAAGAGTCGTTTATCGTGCGTCAGATGCGTGTTAAAAGCCTCGGGGGCTCCAATTAATCGTAAATCTCAACCCGCAGTTCTCTTGTTTCTTTTTCGGGACGTCAAAACACCGCAATCTATTTTTGTTGTAATCTGAACAGCAATGTTCTGACGTTCTTACGGGCCACTTGAACGAAACGTTGTAAATTGTGCAGTGCGTGTGAGAGACTTTGTGTGTTGTGCGACTGTTATGCGTGTATATAACTGCATGTGTTGTGTGTTTATCATTGTATATGTCACTGTCATCATCCGGCAACTGGAGTAGCCTGTCAGGTGAAAAACCAGGCAAACCTCTCCAGCTTCCCATTAAATAATTATTTCACAGCGCTTTATTAGGGAGATACTACTACTACTACTAC